AGACTGAGGGTGCCATGTTGACTTTCTAGGACTGTCAAAACAAATGACTATAAACTAGGTAGCTTATAAGAGAAATTCACTGCCTTGGTATTCTGGAGACTAGAAATCTTAAGTCAAGGTGTAGCACAGTTAGTTTCTTCTGGAGGCTCTCAAGAAGAACCTCTTTCATGCCTTTCACCTGGTTCTTGGTGGCTGCTGGCAGTTCATGGCATTCTCTGGCTTTTAGATGCAAAACTCCAGTACTTGCTTCCATATTGACATATTCCCCTGTCTCTCTGTGTCAAATCTTAGTCTACTTTTCTTCAAAGAATAACATTCATTGGCTTTAGGACTTTTACCCTAATCTCAGGGTGAGATCACCTCAAGATCCTTAACTGACTTGAATCTTCAAAGACCCAATTTCCCAAAATGAGTGTTTTCCAAGTTATGGGGGACCAAAGCTTTAGATATATCTTTCTGGTGAACACAATTCAAGACATTTATAGAATATTCTGTTTCTTTTCTTTCCCCCTGGTCTAGCGCTCATTATTAATTCTTTCCCTTTAGAATTTTTTACCATGTATTTTATTTATTTATATATTTATTTATTTATTTCTTACATAAATGACAACACTGGAATGCATTACATTTATAATTATCCATTCACCGCACAATTTTTCGTAACTCTGTATATAAAGTATGTTCACTCTAAATTATGCCATTATACATGAACTCTCTTTTTTTGCATTACAATTCTTAATACACATTTATACCACAATTTATCATATCTCTGTTTGTATATAAGGTATATTGACACTAAATTCACATATTTATACATGTATTTTGTATAATGATGAGGGTCTCCTTCCACCATCCATGCTATTCCCCTTCCCCCTCCCTTTCTCTCCCATACCTCTTCCCTATCTAGAGGTAATCTTCCTCCCATGCTCTCCCTCCCTACCCCACTTTTTTTCTTCTCTAAAATTTGTCTGTCCCTTCTTTTTTGCCCCTGATAATATACAAGGGGTCTTAAAGAGCACAGAAAAAGAAAAACTTGAACATTTTTTGAATGATTAAAAAGAAACACCAAGGATAAAACATCAAATTGTGGTACATTTTAAAAAGTTATAGAATCTCACAAGTTTTCTTACATTAATTACCCCTAGCCAGCATTTTCCAAATCTTATTTAAAATTTTAATTAGAAGTCACATTGACCCTTGCCTTATCATTTCCTTTCTGATGTTGAGACTCACCAAACTTTTCTTTCACTGGTAGTAGCTTCCTTTCTGATCCTGCCTCTAGGTGCAATTGCTACCTAAATTTATAATGAAGGCAGAATAAAATGTATTAAATGTCCATTTTGGATCTCTTTGAACTCTGATGGACTTGACTTCCATTTCATTGAACCTCTATACCTACCAAGAAATAACATACCATTACAGATTTTGTTGTAATGTTCAAAGGCATGTAATAAAAGTACTGTGAGTGAGAAAGCATATAGGAAAAATGAAAGAGAAATGAAAGGACTTAACAGTATGATACCAACTCAGATACCAACTCAGATTTCTACTCCCTCATGTGTTACTTCATTTCATTCTTCTATTAACTTTATGTTCATTTTACAATTGAGGGAAATGGAAATTAAGTGTTATAATTTGTCAAATATCACACTTTCCAAAAAGTAGAAATCCAGATCCATCTGAATCCAGTTCCCAAATCTACATATTTCAATAGGCCACTTTGTTAAAAAAAAAAAAAAAGTGATGGTTAATGACTAACTTTCATGGCCCATTTATTACATTAAGAAGATATATTAACTCAGTTAATTTTGACAGCATTTGTCTTATCTATTGAGTATTATCCCCATGTAATCAGTGAGACAACTGAGACAATAATTTGTGCAGTTTATATTAGTTAGTAAGTAGTAAAACTAGGATTTTAATTCAGGCTTTCCCAACTCTAAAAGATACACTTTGATGATTAAAAACTTGGACCAAAATTTGACGAGCAGGAGAAGAAAGGATCCCAGGCAAGAATATGAAGATGAAGGAGGCAGGAAGGAAGGGGAACAGAGGTATGATGAGAATCAAGAAAAGGAGTTCCTATAATGGCGGGATGGCCAATGCTGTCAGTCTGCAAGGAGTGGAAAGTGCCCTTGGATTTGGCAATGGAAAGACCTCAGGAATCAGGAATGTGAATGTAGTGGGAACTGCAGAGTAAAGAAAGAATGAGAGTATAAGATAAACCATCTTTGAGAAGCTTGACCTAGAATGCAAATAGAAACACAGTTGGAAAGAGAGGGCAAAATAAACTTACAGGAATCTTGCTTTAGAAGAGAGAAACTTCAGTATTTACAAGTTGAGGAGGTAGCAATAGTAGAGGAGATCAGATGTATGATATAATGAGAAACAGAACTATCAATGAAGAGAAATAGAAACCTAGAACATTACTCAGAGGATTTTCCTTCACTGAAAGTAAAGACACCATTTTCATTGAAACAGGAGGGGAAAGGGAGCATAAACAGGGATTTGAAGCCAGCAAATGATAGGAATTGGGTGTGGACAGGAAGGTAAGTGTTTGGGCTTACTGGGCTTTCCAGAATCTGAAACAAAGCCATTTGTTGAAAAGAGGTAGTCAGCAGGAGTGGGCATTTGGTGACTTTGATGAAAATAAAATATAAAGAACCATCAGGTGAACCTAGATTGCACCTTTTTAGTATATCAATGACCTTATGACTCAAGATAGGAAAATTTCTCATTTAATATTGTAACTAAAACTCAAGAGCAATGTTTATTTTAAAGAAACCACCATTTACACCTCAAAATGGAAATAGCCTATGCAGAACATAGGTTTGTCCGTTATCCACCTTCGGATAATTTACATTCCTCTTGTCTCTATCTTAACCATTTTCCTACACAGTGTTATCTTGGCAGTCCCTAAAAAGCATAAAGAATTCATGATCTTATTCAACACCAAGTGCCAAACCATCTCAAATATATTTGTGTTCTGAAGAAACTAAATAGACTACATGGAAACTAAATAGACTTCAGAAATGAACTATGCCAGGTTGAACATAAACAGGGGCTACAGGACAGGAAAATCGGGCTGATCCTCTTAAGATCTTACTAAATGAATGTACCCAGGCCAACACTGTCGTTTAAGAGTTGTACTTCTTTCCAGAGTAATAAAAGAACAGAACAAGCAAGGTCAGGAATAATATGTGAAGAAGACTATTCAGGAGAACCACATCAGGGGATGATATAAAGTTAAACACAATCATCCTTTAGAGTAATGTTAACCCTGAAGATCAGTCCTAGGTCTAAATAGTTGTTTCCAATTCATATTGTATTTATAAGGAGCAAAGTTATTTTGTTCTTTGAATAAATTCCAATTACTAGCTCTGTAAAGCAAAATATATAATAGTTCTCAAGATTTCTGTTCCACCACCTACCCTGGAACTTATCTTTTGATGTCAAGAATGCTAAGAAGACCAGGTGTAGTCTGTGTGGTAGGAGGGAAGGCATGGATCATTTAGAAACCCTCCACACTGAAGCACTGCACTAATCTGACATCAGTTTCTTCAATAGAAATGTTTAAGCAGCAAGAAAATATTTTATGTTTTTTGGCAATCAACAGATCAGATAGAAGAGTCTAGCAATACAAGGAGCATGTGTAATCTGACATGATTAGACAAGGCACTTTAGTACCAGAACATTCATAATTGAGACAAAGAAAGAGTATTAATAACACTTTCCTAACACGGCAGTTAGCCATTTTATATTTCCTTTCTTTAATCTTAGTGTTTTTCAACAAATCATGGGATTTAATAGCGTGTTTTGGCAGATTAGAGGATTTATGGCCCAGATGTTTTTTGTTCTAAAAATGGATTAGGGTGTAAAGTTTGCTGGAATCCATGGAACATGTTGAGGCAAGCCGGTCATTTTATGTGTGATTAGTGCCTGCCTTCTGTCTCACAGTCCCTCCATCTGTCACAATTCACCAATGGATCTGGTTAGATTTAGCCTCATGTCACAAACAAGTCCCTTTTCTGGGCAATTTCATATTACAGATTCATTTTATGCCATTTTATGCCCCAGTTAAAAGATAGGGAGAAAGATGAGGTATTAGCTTTCCTCTAAATATTTGCAAAAGCCATTGTTTTCCATTAGGATTCTACTCTAAGATCATACAGCACCTCATACTAATGTGCAGCAAATAAATAGATGACCAGTGTTAAAATTAAAGTTAAATTTTAATTAGTTTAGCACCTTGTCCCTATTATTCTTTACAAGAAATATTTGGTATTGTTTTTCACTGACTGGTTTGTGGAGCTGCAGACATTTAACCATCTTATTTAGAGAGTGAGTTGTGACTACAGTTAACAATAGCCACAATTTCTGATCAATTACAGGTGCTTAGTTACATTCTGTGCTTGAAATTTAGCTTCTTAACTATTGCAAGTTTGCATCCATAGCAAACCACTGCCACCTGTAGTTTATTTCACCATAAATAGATTTAGGGGGGAAATGTTCTTCTGTTAATAATGATTTATTCCCTCTATATATGACAAACCTAATAGAGCTATACAAAAACTCTAAAATGACCTTTTTAATTCTAAGAGAGACTCAATAATCATAGTGGTAATTATCAATAACTATGTCCTGCGGTAACATTCAAATATTCCTTGCATGAAAAAAAAATCATACATAGGTTCTATTTTTGATTCCACCAAATGCTCAGATAATTACTAAAATTTGCTTAAAAGTACATTTTACACTTCTTTCTAAATATTTGGAAATGTCCATATGTATATAAACATGTATTGATTACAGATGTTTGGCAACATGTATGATTATGTGAATCAGTCATCTATTATTCATTCATTTGCTTTAGATAAATTCAACAAAGAAATTATTATATGTCAAATATTAACCATTACTCCAAACAGAAGAGATTTGTGTGGGTTAAATTAAGGTTAGCTTACCCATGCATTTGTACATTTGATCTGTCTCCTTTCCAGGTTATTTAAATGACCATGATGCTGTCACCAAGGCCATCCAAGAAGCACGGCAGATGAAGGAGCAACTTCGGCGGGAACAACAGGTGCTTGATGGGAAGGTGGCTGTTGTGAATAGTCTAGGTCTCAATAACTGCCGGACAGAAAAGGTCAGTTCACGAAATAGCTTATTTTCCAGGAATACTTCATTAAAGTGCCTGGATGTTTTTCTTTTCTATTCTTTCTTTTTTGCTTTTCTTTAATCTACCATCCTCAGCATGATGGTTCTCCCTCCCGCCTGTTTTCTCTCCATCAATGCACAAGTCCCCAGGCCCATCTTAATCTAAACCATCTGGAAATGGGAAGAGTTATAATTCTCTTTATCCATCTCCAAACTTTATTGACAATTGATATCCACTTTTATACGCCAGTTTGTATTAAAATTAAGTGGCATTTGAAATATCTGAGCCTGAGTGAAAGTTTTGCTTTACAGAGATGCTTAACTTGTATTTGAGGATGAGCTGGATTTGAAAATGCTGAATCTTCTTTAATCAGCATAAGCTTGGATGATACCCGCGCTCATATTCTAAGTATGTAGATCCTGAGCTTGTCATAATGTTTCCAGTGCAAAGCACTGTCAAGGGTTGGGCAACTGCACAACTGGAACATTTGTATCATGAAACAAAATGTGCTTTAAAAATTTTTGACATTATTTATTACACTTCAAGTTAGTGAAACTTCTGAATTTGTCTGAGCTGTAATGATTTTAACCTGTTTTGTTTAAGCATACATTGTATTTTTTTTACTTGTAGTTGGATACAATATCTTTATTTTATTTATTTATTTTTATGTGGTGCTGAGAATCTTGCATGTGCTAGGCGAGTGATGTAGCCCTGAGCCACAAACCCCAGCCCCATAAGTTGTATTTTACACAGAAAGAAATGTAGGCAATTATAGAAGCCTTAGAATGGGGTGCCTCTTTGGTAATATTTGATGTTTTGAATGGAAATCGTAAAATGTTACTGAATCCCCTGTAGTAGATAAGGGGGAAAATGATTGGCTACTTAGCAATAACTTCGAAGTTCATCATCATGGGAAGTGTATGAGCCAAACAAAATTGTTCAGAATGAGCAGATTGCTAATTTGGATAGGTAGCTGGTTTCCCAGCTTTTATATGGAAGTAAATGCACTATCAGTAGGCAGAGAGCAATCTGCATAGTGCAGGTGACATGGAGGGTCACAGCTCCTTTTTTCTTGAGTTCTTACATGGGTAAAATTTAGGATGGAGATACAATTTCAATTCTGCTCTGTTTCCAGAGGGGAGAGCAAAGCATGGGTCAGGAGACATCCCTTTCAGCTTTCTAAGAAGTGTGACATCGGTGCAGTGAGGAGGACCCCAAATTTTTCTAGCTAAGCACCAGAAGAGAAAGGGAAAAGCAAAGTGACAGCTCTAAGAAGGAATGATAGCAAGCATAAAGGAATTTATATTCAAATATTTAAACATTCTTGAAAGGATGCTTGAACAGAAATTCCTTTTCTGTGCTCCCCATGTAGAAATGAGTTTAACACTCAGCCAGATGCTAATGCAAAGTGACTCAAGCTATTCCTCGCAAGCATAGCTAAATTGCCGTTATTTGTTAAGCGCATTGAATTCAGCTGTGGATACAGCAGTTGGTTGCATTCAGCAAGCATCTGTACCCTTTTTTTTTTTTTTTAATCCTCCAAAGCAGAGACAACTCTACCTATCTCCCCCCTCTCCTCCCCTGTGCTGGCTGGGAATTGTCAAGTGACAACCGACCAAATCCTTTTGGACAGGAAGCCTTCATCCTGAGTTCTATATACTTGCAAAACAGGCCTTGTGGTTGGATCAGGGAGCCCATTAAAAGCACTTTGATGGTATGGAAATTCATCTTCATGAAGCTCCTAGGCCCCTAAGCAGCATGCTGTTTAGCTGTGGTTACAGATCAGTCATTCACATCGGAGGGCAATAATTGTGCTGACGGCTTGTAAGGCAATGGAAGTACATAAAATAATCCTGGGCCCTCCACCATGGCACTGTGAGTTAATCTTCTCTAATACAGATCAGCTGTTGTTCTAACGCATGACTTTATGCTGGCTCCAGTGACTCTGTGCGGCCTTTTGATTAAGTAACAGTAGTGGAACCATCTGCATTTACTTTATTCCATACTTGGCCATTGTAAGGGGACCTTTTTCCACTTCTTGTCCACCTCCACAAACATACTTTATTTTATTTCCTTGATTAGCACCTCTAATTTGGGTTGCAAGAGTGAGAGTTGCCTTTGTTGAAAGCTACAGCTTCAATATTCCTTTCTCTTTTTGTGGAGTTAAAACTACTTCAACAAATAAATCTATTTTGAAGTTATACCTGCCAATATCTATTGGCCAATTAAGATGTCTGTATTCTTGAGAAGATTGTATTCCTAAGTCTCTTTAGCATGTACTTTGCATGTAGTTGAATTAAATCCCAAACTCACGTTTTTATTGGTTTTTAAGAGAAAAACTAAAATTTTGCAAATGAAGCAGTTCAACTATTGTAATAGTCTGACAGACCCTCATGTAAGTACAACTTCTCCACTGAAAGATCTGAATTAGCTCATCCCTCCTGTGACTCTGGCATCTGAGAATGAATTAAGATCATGGCTACTCTTTGAAGCAGGTCTTACCAAGGTTTGTGGTTCCTCCTTCCTGTTCAACTAGGTATGTCTGTGCAACCCTGGAGGTGTGGTTTTTGAACCAGAAAATATGGTCTCCATTTTTATACAGCTTACAGTTTAAATCAAATTATTATTTTGACTGTTTTACATATTTATGTGAGTGAGCCTGTCAGGACTGAATAAAGAGCACTCGTTTCTTAGCATAATCAGTTATATATGTGTGATGACAAAAGTGATACATATTCTCCCACAGAAAGAAACATTGCTATGCATATTGTGCTGTTATTCTCCTAATACCTACCTTCTTTCAGATTTTTATAATCATTCAGCTTTATCCAGACCCAGTGCAAATGCAGATCAGTAATTGGTTTGAAATTTTGCTTCATAGTTCTTGAGGAAAGACAAACAGAATATATGATAAATTATTTTAATATTTTGCACTATTATCTTCTCATATCATTTGAATCCCCCCAAAAGGACATTTTTCTATCTAAAATAATACTCATAACTTTCTAAACCTGTAAAGAATGTGAAAGATAAAGAGTGAGGGAGACAAAGCAGGAAAAAAAAAAGGAGCTAGATGAAGGAAAAAGGAGAAAAAAGAAGTCCATCCTGGTACTTTAGATCAGTCTAAAAGATGCACAATAGCATGACCTGAGATACAGATAATTAAAATCCTGTAGTGCAAATCTGTTTTCTGGGGTGCACAAACCTTGTACACTTTAATTCTTCCTCACATCGCAAAAAGCCAGCATGGTTGTCCCAACTCAAAGGTCTTAATTCTGAAAAGCTGTAATTGGACAGTGAAAACAATTAGAGGTGTGAAGATAGGGACAAATGTTTTTCCAGTGATATGAACCAAAACATCATGAAAGTCATTTTTACTGAAACACATTTTAATTGAAGACTTCTAAAAGATTTTTCACTTCTTTACTTTTCTTGGAAGTGTTTCAACAAACCCAAGAACTGTGTGTGTCAGGTTTCTTGGAAACTCTGGGACATAGTGTTATTTATAATTGTCATTGCTGGTTAATTATAGACTGATTGTGTATTCAAGTAATGTTATCTTTCATCACAGCTCGGTTACAGATAACACTGTAACACTAATCCCAGTGTTATGGATGAAAAAGTAAGCTTCTCAGGTAGGAAGGAATAGAAAGAAGACTCTCATATATTTGTTTTGTTAAAAAATACTCACTTTACTTCATTAACACCCAAATGACATAATTTTGACTGTAGGGCCAACTGTGTAGCAGGTTCCAGACCTTTTGTTTGAAGGGATCTATACCTAATAGGCAATCATCTAACCTCAGTTTTGGTGTTCTGAACCTACCAGGCAGTGTTAGTTAAAGCAATGAGGACCCAGCGCATGTAACTGAAACGTGGAATAGACCAGAAGTTTTCCAGCTGATTTACCTCATTGCAAATGTAGCCTTATGGAAAGACTGTGCCTTTACAGCCCTATCTGTTAGAAATATCTCTTTTAGATTGCATTAGGCAGTCTAAATATGATAGCTTAAACAGTGCTTAATCGTTATCACATAACAAAGTTCAGTAGTTGGAGGTTGGTGGCCTTAGTCCATCAACTCAATAATCTCACGGTTGAAATCTCTGTGACTTTATTGGTTTTTCTGAGTCACAAAATTGTTGCTGATCATACAGCTATCTCACCCACCTGAGGGCAGGCTGACTTGGAATAAAGGAGTTTTCTCTTTGCTAAATTCAGCCTTGATTCACATGGGAATGTTTTATTACCTCTAGATAACTGGTTTCCACCAACAACTCATAGGCTGGAACTGAATATGTGAACATTTTTAAGGAAATTCCTGGCCAAAGAGAAAAAAAGACCAAAATTGATGGCAGATTATTTTATGTAAATGAATTAAATAAATTATCTTCCCTGAGGTCAAGGGGATATCTTGAGATAAAAAGTAGGGAAGAAAGACCAGAATGACATTTGGGGTAGGAAAAGGCAATAGACACAACTGCATTATAAAAATGATATAAAATCTCAGCCTTCAAGAAACTGAGTTGTTTTATTTGTTTCCTAATCATTGCGGTCTAGCTACCTTTGGCTTTTCCACCATTATGTGTCCAGAGCCTTATACCATGTCGCAGTTCACAAAGAATTAAATGACTTACAAGCATATGCATAGGAAAACATTGCTTGATGACATTTTAAATATACAAATGTGTGTTCACACACATGCTCTATACATGTTAAGATGGCTTGCTTTCTTATTTTAAACAGATGTCACTCACAGAAATAAGCATGCAAATGTATGCATATATTTCATAAGGTAGAAAATTTATTCACCAAACATTATTTGCCTACAGTGTACCTGGAATATAAGCAAGCACACATGTTATGAATTCATCTAAAATTGAAAATAATTGCTAGGAGAATGTCTTTCTTTTCAGGTTTAAGGAAAATTCTTTGTAAATTTCTATAGGATAAAGTGCAAATTTGGTGGAAAAACATGTATATTTTAAAT